TGGCCAGCATCCTGTCTTAGCCTCCAAAGCACTGGGAGCCACCTCACCCAATCTAAAACTTTCAAGCATTTGTCTGGAGAGGTGGCTCAGAGAAATGTACTTGCTATGCAGGGCCACGGACTGGAGTTCTGATCCTCGAAACCCACGTAAAAGACAAAGATGGGCAGACAGGGAAGCCACCTGTAATCCCAGCACTCAAGAGGTAGGCTGGAACCTCTGGGGCAAGCTGGATAGCTAGACTAGCCAGAACTGGTGAACCTGGGGTTCAGCAGACAACTCTGCCTCAATAAACTAAGTGAAGAACCATAGAAGAAGGCCCTCAGGGTCAACTGCCAGCCCCCACACAAGCATGCATGTGCACCCTCACAGACACTCAGACCCAAGCAATACAAATAAACACACACATAAGCACGCTACAGAGAATGGGAAGAGGAGGGGAGGAGATGCGGAGGGGGAGAGGGAGGGAAGATTTCAAGTAGAGGAGTCATCCTCTGGAGATGCATGGAACTTGTGTCCACATTTACCGAAGTCAGGTGAAGCTGAAGAACTCCAGCAGAAACTGGAGTCACATGGTAAACAAGAACCAGGGCAAAACCAGATTAGAGATAACCTTGTAGACATCAGTTGGAGTCCCCAGATATAGGCACCCCATGTCCACTTCCCAGCTGTAGGGCAGAGGAACAGCCAGTATGTGGGAAAGAAGGGCAGAGACTGACGTCTGCGGAATCCTGGCAGTCTTTAGTGTGAAAAACGTCAGGAAGTTGTGCCAAGTTAGGTCAGGAGAATTCAAGACGGTCCTAACACTTTCTCTGAGTCACTCCTGAAATTCCCAATACCAACCCTTCTCATTAGCCCACCTTCTCTTTTTTTTATTTGAATTAGAAACAAAATTGTTTTACATGTCAATCCCAGTTCCCTCTTCCTCCCCTCCTCCACCTCTACCCCCCCCCACCTCCAACTAAAACCCTACCTATCACATATCCTTTCTGCTCCCCAGGGAGAGTGAGGCCTTCCATAGGGGGTCATAAGAGTCTATCATATCCTTTGGGATAGGGCTTAGGCCCACCCCTGTGTGACTTGGCTCAGGGAGTATCCTTCTATGTGGATTGGGCTCCCAAAGTCCACACCTATGCTAGGGATAAGTACTGAACTACTACAGGAGGTCCCGTAGATTTCCAAGGTTTCCTCACTGACACCCATGTTCCTGGGGTTTGGATCAGTTCCATGCTGGTTTCCCGGCTATCAGTCTGGGGATCAAGAGCTCCCCGTTGTTCAGGTCAGCTGTTTCTGTGGGTTTCACCAGCCTGGTCTGGACCCCTTTGCTCTTCACTCGTCCTTCTCTGCAACAGGATTCCAGTTCAGTTCAGTGATTAGTTGTGGGTGTTGGCTTCGACTCCCACCAGCTGCTGGATGAATAACCCACCTTCTCTATCCCTCTTAGTTTATGTCTCTCTTTTCTGGCACCGCAAACCCTTCTCTCTCAAGCCCCAAAGCTTTGGGAGTGAAGCACCAGACATCTTCCATTCTGCCTCTGTTTTGCTTGTTCACTGCAGTTAGACGCAGGAGCCAGAGCGGGAGGGGGTGGGGAGCCCTGGGCCATGCCACCCTGTGATGCTCTCATTCTTCCTGCTTCTATTGATCAGCACTTCCACAGAACAGAGCCTCTTCCCAAACGCTCCGCCCCTTCCAGGATTCCCTTCAGCTCACACCCAACAGGCTCCCCTGAAAAGTGTTTAGGGTCTCAGCTTCCTGGGGTCTCTCCCATGACTTATGCAATATAGACTCGAGCTTTTGAATTAGCCTGGATTTGTATTCAAATTCTGCCCATCAGGAGCTCCACTATTTAACGGTTCTCTACCTCAGAATCTTCACCTGTATATTAGAAATGATGGTAATATTTCACAGGACTGTTCTAGGAATTAAATGAACACGCAAAGTGCTTGGCCTATTATGAGTGTTCGGGAAATGTTTATAATAGACATGTAGGCATACAGATACACATTATCCAACATTTTTACTTAGCCTTTGTGTGTACTTAGTGCTAGGGACTAAACTCAGAGTCTTGAACATATGCTAGGCATGCACTACACTACTGAGCTACATCCCAGTCCAGTACCTACTCAAGAATTGTATCCAGGGGACTTGGAGAGATGGCTTAGCTGTTAAAAGCTCTTGCTACTTTTTACTGCTGCGATGAAACTCCATGACAAAAGAGCAAGTTGGGGAGGAAAGAGTTAACCTGGCCTACCCTTCAGCATTGTTGCTCATCACTGAAGGAAGTCAGGACAGGAACTCAAACAGGACAGGATCCTGGAAGCAGAAGCTGATGAAGAGGCCATGGAGGGAAACTGTTTACTGACTGGCTTCCCCTGGCTTGTTCAGCCCACCTTCTTATAGAACCCAGGACCAGCAGCCCAGGGATGGCACCATCCACCATGGGCTGGACCCTCCGGCAATGATCACTAAATGAGAAAATGCCCAACAGCTGGATCTCAAGAAAGCATTTCCTCAGCTGAGGTTCCTTCCTGTGATGATTGTAGCTTATGTCAAGTTGACACACAAGACCAGTCATGTACACTATTCTTCCAGAGGACCTGAGTTCAGAGCACAGCACCCCACCAGGTGACTTATAACGGTCTTGAATTCTAGCTCCAGAGGATCAAGTGCCCTCTTCTAGCCCCCACTGGCACTGTGAGCATACATACATATGATAAAAAATGAAAATGAGACAGTTAATGAAAATCAGCTTAATGCTGTCATTTAACAGTTTCATGTTTCTTCTCACTCATCTCCCAGGATATAGGACACCATTATTCCAATTGCTGAATGAGGACCAGCAAGGTCTGAATTCCATCCTCGGGACCCATATGTTAAGAGAGAGAACTGAGCCAGGCTGTGGTGGCGCATGAGTTTAATCCCAGCACTTGGGAAGCAGAGGCAGGCGGATCTCTGTGAGTTCCAGACCAGAGCAAGTTCCAAAACAACCAGAGCTACACAGAAAAACACTGCCTGGAAAAGAGAGATACAGAGAGAAAGAGAGGGAGACAGGGAGGGGGAAGAAAGGGAGGGAGGGAGGGAGAGAGAGGGGGGAAGACGGGAGGGAGGGAGAGAGAAAGAGGGGGGAAGACGGGAAGGAGGGAGGGAGGGAGGGAGAGAGAACTGGCTCCCTAAAGTCATCTTCTGACCTCAACATTATGTCATATATCACCACAACCCACACAAAAAATAAACAAAACACCTAAATACACCAGTGGATCAATAATTCTCAACTCTTATTAAGAAATTTCAGCAGGGTAGTATTATGTGCTTTTAATCGCTCTACTTGGGAGATCTCTGAGTTTGAGGCCAGCCTGGTCCATAGAGAGAGTTCCAGGACAGCCAGGGATGCACAGAGAAACCCTGTCTCAAAAAGACATGAAGGAAGGAAGGAAACAAACTTCAAGGATATTCTCACTTGTTCTGCCCATTTGTCCTTCCTTTGCTAGTAGGTGCCAGAAATCAACTTCATCTGTGCCATAACTTAGAAAATAAGTGAACAACAAAGCTGGAAGCCGTCCTAGACATGGGTTGTTCCCATGTTTCTCAACTTTGGGTGCATTTTAGAATAACCTGAATGGTTCATTTTCTGTGAATCTACCCTTCAGAGAATCTATTTTGGGGTCAAGGGTTCGGTTTGGTTTGGTTTAGGTTTTTGTTTTTTCGAGACAGGGTTTCCCTGTGTAGCCCTGGAGATCCTGAAGTTCTCTCTTGTAGACCAACCTGGCCTCGAGCTCACAGAGAGAGATCCATTTGTCTTTGCCTCCAGAGTGCTGGGATTAAAGACAAGAGCCACCATGCACTGCTAGGTTTTGTTTGTTTGTTTGGTTGGTTGGTTGGTTGGTTTTCTTTTTCTTTTTAATTGGAGTAGAGGGCAGGGTCTTGCCATGTAGCCCAAACTGATCTAGTATTCTCCCACCTCAGCCTCCTGACAAGTTTGCATCAGCTAAATATTAATCTAATCACCTTATTTTACTAACAATAAAACTATCATGGAGTCGGTAAGCAAACTGACCAAATTTTGTCCGGCATATCTCCACATTTGGTTGTTTGTTTTTGTTTTGAGACAGGGTCTCTCTATGTAGTCCTGGCTGCCCTGGTGTTTGTTATATATGTAGAGCAGGGTGTTCTCGAATCCACAGAGATCCCCCCTGCTTCTGCCTCAGGAGTGCTAGGATCAAAGGCACGTGCTACCACTCCAGGGTATGTCTGCACACTTGTAATGCACCCCATAGCCCCAGTTGCTTGTGGGGCTGAAGCAAAAGGCTCCTGAATTACAGGCCATCCCGAAAAGCACAGGGAGCCAAGAGAAACAGACAGACCGACAGACAGACAGACAGACAGACAGACAGAGGGCAGAGACAGACTGTCACAGCAATAAATTAATGATGTTTATAATTGTTCTTGTTGGAATTAATCCTGGAAGCATTCCTCCTTAGTCAAGACAGGCACTGTATAATTTACCTTTCACTTTGGCAGCAGCACTTACGCTTCTGCCACGACTAAAATGGGTTCGCATTCCCTGACCACAAAAGGACAGGGATGGACTTCACATTCGCCACTCACGGAGCCCGCAACATTAGCAAAGCTCCCTAGAAGGCCGCTTGAGGTGCCTAAAAAATGCTTCACT